TCACTGCTTTATAATTTAACTGTTCATTTCTTGTACTATATATCTATCTGTATATAATTTAACAGTTCATTTCTTGTGTTATATATCTAATTATCTTTATAAATAAATATATAAAATTATCAGCAATCTGGTTTTATCTCTCTAGAGAACCCTGTCTAACACAAGGACTAATTAGATTATATCAGCTTAATTGAAACTCATACATTATATTGATTTCCTGTACATGTCTTATATTTTACAATCCTATCATTCATGTTTTTCCTAAATTGTTTGACAATAAACTGATATCCTACTGTAAAATTCAAAAACTCATCAAAATACAAACGCTTGGAGTATTTTTGTTTTGTTACTCCAAAGGATTGGAGAAATTACGCATTTTACAAAAGGTGCATTCGTTTTTGCATGATCACGGAACTAGAAGTTCCAATAGGTGTTGAAAGCACCAAATTTATAAAGCTTTATGCTGCCCACAAGTCCTTCATGCAGGTGTCCATCAAATGAAGCAAAAGGGAAGGTGTACGGACAAAGACTGAGCTTCCTTAACTAAGAGTTACACTGTGTGTTTTCTGGTTTGCCAGGCAGCGAGGGTAACAGAACCTCGCAGAGACCATGAGTCTTGAATTGGATGAAACCCAAAGCCATTCCCCAAATACCTGTAACTTCTCCAGTGCATTCTTAAAAGCTCTCATAAGACTCATGGGATTGACCACAAATGGCCACTTTCCCCACTCAATACTTCAGGAAATGAATAAATCATGTTCAGTCTATGAACCTAGCACAAAATATAATTGATTGCCAACTATTTTTTATATTGAAAAGGTCTTCCTGCTCCAAGGAAGGAATACTTTATTTCTAGAAATGCCTTACTGATTGTCCTACAACACTTTAAAATAATCCTGCTCTGTCTTTTGATGGAGGGGCCTTGGTAGTATAGTGGTTACGTGTGGAACTGCTAACCACAAGTTCAGTAGTTCAAAACCACCAGCTACATCACAAGAGAAAGATGGGGCTTTCTACTCCCATACAGAGTTACCATCTCAGAAACTCACAAGAGCAGTTCTACCCTGTCCAACAGGGTCACTATGCGTTGGCACCATAGTGGTTTAGGTGACTCCATCCTTCTCCCTAATGATTTACATTTCTTAATAATAACCCATAAACTTGGTTAAAAGGTGACAGACTTGAATATTAATCTTTTTCAATTAGTAATAATTGCGCCTCAGATAAACCTCACTGGCTATGATATTGCCACTGCGCAAAGCTATTTACCTTTTTTTTTTAATCGTTTTATTAGGGGATCATATGACTCCTATCACAATCCATACATACATCAATTGTGTAAAGCACATTTGTACATTCATTGCCCTCATCATTCTCAAAGCATTTGCTCTCCACTTACGCCCCGGCATCAGGTCCTCATTTTTCCCGCTCCCTCCCTGCTCCTCCCTCCCTCATGAGCCCTTGATAATTTATAAATTGTTTATTTTGTCATATCCTGCCCTGTCCAACGTCTCCCTTCACCCACATTTCTGTTGTCTGTCCCCCAGGGAGGAGGTCACATATAGATCCTTGTAATCGGCTATTAACCTTTTTAATGATATAAATAATTCCATAGGAAATGATATGGAAGATGAAGTGGGTTCTTTGAACTCTTCTGAAAATTAAAAAAAAAAGAAAATCATAAAAGAAACATTTTCTAGGAACGTTATAAAGTTTAAAACAATTTAGGATGATCCCTTTTCAAAAGGACTTCAAAAAATTTTAGAAATATGTAGAATAATTCATTTTACATTGAAATTCATATAATTTGATTGGTAAATGCTTTTTAACTAGCCCAGCTGGTCAGTTGAACATGTTCAAAATCTGTGCAATTTGATGCCACCTTGAACAGGAGATATCATTTATAATATGTCCTGTTCATTAAAAACGCAAACTATTTTCCAGCATCATAGCAACGACTCTTCACCCTTCTTCACAGGTGAGCAAATGTGGAAATATAAAACACTTCTAATGCACTCTAAATCTTGCAAGACTATAATGAATGTAAGACTTGAAAGACTTGATGATTGCTCACGGGACTGGCACCACTAGGGAAATAAAAAGCAAGGGCAATTCATGCATAAATATCAATGAATATCTATTCATGCATAAATATGAATGAATAAAATATCTCATGCCAAAGGGACTTGAAAAACTGTTCTTTAAAAGCACCCCATATTTCGGGTACAATTAGGGTTCACCCACATAGATCTTTTCACATATAAAACGTGCAAAGTTATAAACCTTCAACCAGGGCAGTAAAAGAGGACTTAAAGTTGTATGAATAAACACAGGAGTTATCCATAAGTATTATCTAAAACCGAGACTTGCAACCTTTCACCCATATTAAGGCACAGAACATGCTCTGGTAAAAAGATCCTTGAACTAACTACAAGCTTTTCTTTCGTGTTGTGTTTTAATTTGTTATCTGTCAGTGGTTTGTTATTGTTGTTGTTTTGTTGTATGTTGTTGCTTGGTTTTGCTCTGTCTTGTTTTGTGCATGTTATTATCACCACAGGTCTGTCTAAATAAGATAAACTGGATGAATAATCTGGAGGAGAAAGCAAAGGGACCGACAGTTCCGGGGGGACATGGGAGAGGGGGAGGTGGGGGAAAAGGAA